AGGAAGGAAGAAGATCTCAGGCTGCAAGCAAAAGGAGGATCAGAGGATGGAAGCCTGAAGGAGCAAAAGAGCTGAAGACATTCAGACAGGTTCAGGGTCATCATCATCATCATCCCTCCTTCCTCTGACCCTCAGCTTCCTGTCAAACCTCTCATCTCCTAACTTCCTCCTCAGTCGTGGATCTTCTGCTTCCACGAGTTTGACTCCGACCAGATCAGGAGCTGCTGCTCCATTTGCCTCCTGAACCTTTTCTGGAAGTGAAGATGCAGCTGGAGAGACAGAACTGGAACCAGAACCAGGTCCAGATGGTGTCGGTCCTGAAAGCCTGAAGCTGCAGAGTGGTTCTGTGGGATTCTGTAGCATCTCTTCAACCTCAACCCAACACAACAGAAGGTTCTGTTGCTGTGGACGACATCCTGCCTGGTTCTGGTACCAGAGAAAACTCACCATCAGTCATCAATGACTATAGACCAGTTGCCATGACAACCCACATCATGAAGGTCCTGGAGAGACTCCTGTCGGCTCACCTGAACAAGCTCATCTCAGGACCCCCTACAGTTTGCTTATCGCCATAGAGACGGAGACGCCATCTTAACCTGCTTCATGAACCCATTTAACACATTTCAGCCTGATCTGCTCTGTGAGGAACAGCAGGAGACTCAGGTGGAGCCTCAACCCTCACCTGGATCCATGACACCTGATGACAGACCACAGGTAGAGACTGGAGGACCGAGCTGTGGCTCTGTTCTCTCTCCGTTCCTTTTCTCTCTCTACACTTCAGGCTTCCAGAATAAGTCTGACTCCTGTCATCTACAGAAACACTCAGATTACAGAAACACTCAGATTACAGAAACACTCAGATTACAGAAACACTCAGATTACAGAAACACTCAGATTAATCTGCAGTTGTTGGTTCATCAGAGACGACCAGAGGCTGAGTACAGAGAGCTGGTGGACCGCTTTGGGTCATGGAGGGAACAGTCAAATCATCTGAAATGTGAACAAAACAAAGGAGATGCTTGTT